AAATAAAAAATTTGGATTTATGTCACATCTAGGTCCGGCGAAGAAACCTTTCCAAATAATGTCCTTGGATACAATTGGTGGATTTGGGGGAAAAAGATCGACAAAAAGATATCTACATTTACTAGTGGACCATTTTACTAGATTTGCTTATATCTCATGCTCGAAAAACCAACTGGCGCACGATTTCATTAAGTTAATAGACAAGGCTTCGACAGAAAACGCGATCGAAGTATTACTCGCAGATCAATACCCAGCAATAAACTCAAAAGAGTTCAAAAGTTACCTCAAGAAGAAAAATATTCAATTGGTTCTCACAGCGACAGATGCCNCTTTTTCAAACGGACTAAACGAGAGACTGAACCAAACTCTGGTAAACAGAATAAGATGTATGTTCAATAATGACAGTAAAAGGAAAGCTTGGTCGAAGATCGCAGAAGAATGTGTAAAGGCATACAACAAAACAGTCCATACTGTTACAGGATTCTCTCCTATATACTTGATGAACGGTGAGTCCACGGACCTACTACCCCCGGAATTGAAAGTTATAAACGACTGTTCTAAAAATTTAGAACANGATCGGAAGATAGCGCTGCTCAGATCAATAAAATCACACGAATACAATAAAACCCTATTTGATAAAAATAGAACAAAGCACGATTTTCAAATAGGTGATATGGTCTATGTAACAAATGGAAATAAGCTAAACAGGAAAAAAATGGACGAAATAAGAATGGGCCCTTTTGANATTGAAGAAAGAATCTCAGATTCAATATTCAAGATAAACACAGGTNGTGGTAGAAAATCCATGGGTTTATACCACATCACAAAGCTCATTCCCGTGACTAGCTGATATGCACCGTTCTAAGCTTAGATTCACTTTTGCAAGAGAATTAAGCATCTCGAGGGAGGAGATGTAAGCTTGTGCACGTGCACATACATCCGCACATGCNCCTTAGATCATGAGACGTCCGGGAGGTGGTGCCACGAGTGGAAGAAGAGTGATAGAGAAATAGAGAGAATAACGTATATTATATTATATAGACTTATAGAAGTAGTGAAATAATTCAGTGAAGAATACAAGAACATTGTAATAGTAATATTTGGGTTCAAAGTTAAATTGAGAATCGTTAAACAAGTTCGGCTTGTTAGAACTAGGAGCATAAACATTTAATTGTTGATTCTCTTATTTTTAGGTTAGTCAACCACGTGCAATCGTATAACCTTTGTCCGGTTCATTCTATTAAATAAATTTTCTCTTATTTTTAGACGAATCACGGTGTGTTTATTGCTTCGGTAAACCTCTACATATTATATATATATATATATATATATGCATTCATATATGTATATACATACTCACATTTTCCGCATAACATCTTGTGAACGGTTCTTCATGTGTGATCTTATATTCATATAGTAGTTTAAAAATACTTATATATTAGTAAGGAACACAAGTAGTCTCGCGGACTAAGTGTGTTATATTCACGTGTAATATTTTTCACGTAAAGTTTTAAAATTGAAATTACAATTCTTTTAATCTTATAGAATGCATAATGAATGAAGTTTGCATCTCATATATAAAGAATCCCGAATACCCCCCTAACTAATTTTTAAATAAATTTTCAATAATTATGTTTATCTACTTATCTGAAGCTACTCTCCACATTTTATTTATTATTTATGTAAATTATGATTTTACTAGAAATGTTGCAATGCTAGGTACTTGCAACAATAAATACAAATACTTTTCTTATTATTATTAAATATAATTTAAAGTACATTTTACATATATATATATGTATATATATATATATATATTTACATTCATATATGTATATACATACTTACATTTTCCGCACACCCTGTGAACGACTCTTCATGAGCTTATATTCATATATTAATTTAAAAATAATTATATTTTAGTAAGGAACACAAGTGGTCTCGCGGACTGAGTGCAGGGGCTGCGATTATGGAGGTCTCGAGTTTAAATCTCGCCATTACATTAGAATTTGTTCAGGTTCGGTCTCTTTTAATGGAGTTCATCAGTTGTTCAGCGAGCTGAATCAGGCTTTCAGAAATTAATTTGAGTGAAATTTTGAATCAATTCCCTTCCGACAAGACGATATACCACTGATTTTTTTGTTTTAGTAATTCTATTTGGATTCTAGACGACAGATCTGATATGTGTTTGGTAACAATCTGTCGGCGCTACGACAGATTTAATTTGTATTTGCTACTGTTTTGTTGACAGTTCTAGTAACAGATATGATGTGTATTTGGCGCGATTTTGGTGCCAACAAACGATCACCAAATCTGTTCTGAATTTGGTACGTCACTTTGGCTTTGCTTTGATAGTGGCAGACTTGTTATGATTTTGGTCTCATTTTGACATCTCACATGTTTGACAGATATGGTCGCCAAACCATATCCTAATGAGGACACAGATGGATATGGATTTGGTCTACTAATTTCGCCGGCGGTTGGCGACAAACCCGCGACATCTCGCAATCAAATTGGTTGCTGGGTACATTTTGGAAGGTTCGACTGTAAATTTTTTTACAAGTGAGTTTTTTTAATTGAGAATTCAATTCTTTAAATCATATAGGATGATAGATTTGCATCTCGTATATGAAAAACCCCGAATACCTCTCCTCCCACCAAATTAATTTAAAATATTGCAAAAAAATTTTCGGCCAAGAGTCGAACCTGGAATCTCTTGCTTTCCGGGCCGTCGCCTTCCTTGTTAGACCACTGAGACACTTGGAATCTTTCTAGCAATATTTGTATATATATCAAAAATGGTCTTGATAAATTAATAACGCATACTGAGACCAGCGCGTGATTCAACAATTAAATAATTTTTTTATGTATTACGGTAAATATTTCCAAAATTCACCACCTTCCAATTTGATTGAAATCAATAATAAGGTCAATAATATTAAGGTCAATAATATTAAAGTCAATAATATTGAGATGACTAATATTAAAGTCAATAATAAAAAATAAATAAGTATTTCTTTGGTAAATATTTCCAAATGGTCACCACCTTCCGATTTGATTGAGATTGACATATGTTGTCAAGGACATCTTGCTGAGTAACAGTCAAAACATGTCGCTCGTTGTTTGTTAAAAAGTTAATAACAAAAAAAGTTTTATAAATGAACTCTTATTTTTCGGTTCCATGTACATTTTCTTCGTGTTCTAAGTGTTTAGGCAGGAGAAGCTATGTTTCCCCGCAAGGAGAGGGACTTTGCCCATCCTTCTTGCTCCCCCCTTCGTGTTTTGCGTGTATATTATTTTGTGTTTATATTAGAATATTTTTTCTGGATCCACTATTCTACAATAATAAATTATGTCTAAAACATAAAACGTTTGGACAACGATGCTTCATTAATAAAACTTTTTTTGGTAATAACAAGAAATATATAGAGTTTTACGAGCCATTTGCAGGATGTTTGAGCGGAAACTGTGCGTGTGTATATATATATATATACATGTAACGAATTCAACTTAATAAATAATAAATTTTACAAGTGAGTAAATTTTACAAGTAAATTTTTACAAGTGAGTGTTTTTTTAATTGAAATCTTACTTCTTAACCATACTTTTTTTGGTAATTTCGACATGAAGCGAATGTAATCGGAAGTCGTATTCGTTAATTAAATTCTTCATTTTTTTGACCGAGGGAGCAAAGGAGAGAGGCAAAGCCTCTCTCCCTGCAGGGAAGCGTAGCTCCTCTGCCTAAACACTTACAACACAAAGAAAATGTACATGGAATCAAAAAATAAGAGTTCATTTATTAAATTTTTTGTTATTAACTTTTTAACAACCAATGACCGACGGCTAAAATTTTTGGATTGTTACTCAGGGAAGTCTCTCTCTTTGACAACATATGTCAAGTTTAATCACATCGGAGAGTGGTGACCATTTGGAAATAGGTACCAAAGAAATACTTATCATTTACTTTTTATTATTTGCACCAGAAGATGGGAAAGTAATACTAGCAAACAAATTTAATCTACGTGCTGTACCACCGACTAAAGTGTCAGTAGGTGGACAGTTGTATAAAATAATGAATGTTAATTTAACAATAGACTGGTATTGAAAACAGTCATTATACAAGTATGTGTACAGATAGAAAATGGAGCTGACTTAGAATGTATAATATGCAAATTATAAAGCACCACTGGCCTAAAGGTGCTAAAAATGTTATTCTTTTCTTGGAAAAAATAAAAAAAAAAATATTTTATTAAGAAGTGAGAAAAAAAGAGAGAATAGAAAAGAAGATAAGGTAATTATTTAGAAAGCGGACTTCCTCACCAATTTCAATGAGCTTGAAATATATTTTTAAGGACGTTATTCTGAACAACTTTTCCTTATAATGTTACCGCCGCTCGGCTTTAGTTTTTGGGTTATAAACAAAAGAAGGTGATCAATATTTACAAAAGCTCACTACCCTCTAATTTGAATGAACTTGACATATGTTGTCAAGGACACCCCCTAGATAGATAGATAAGCTAAAAGCGGGGGGCTTGTGAGTCCCTTTGTCACCTAGATCTATAAGATCCTTTGCTAGTAGTTTATCGTCCAAGTTGTCTTAGCCCGGCATTTGCTGTCAGGCTACACAGGTGGCCGATATTGTGTGTTTTCAGGTCTTCGGGCTTCACGAACATGGAGCCCAGAAATCTGAACCTCTTGAGTACTAGAGACGGGCAGCGACACAGTATGTGCTCCCTTTCTTCACCGCAAAATCTACACCTACTCTCCTCGACTAGGCTTAAGTTGAATAAATGTGCCCTGAAGGCCCAATGCCCTGTGAGAAGACCGATACACAATCTTTGTTTGTACTTACCCATAGTCAGTAGTTCCTTTGTCCTACCTGGCAATGGCTGTGTCATCAGGACCTTGGCCTGGCGGCAGCTCTTCAGTTTCTTCCAAGCGGTCCTGTGCTCCCGTTTCAGCCAGTCCTAATGTGGTTTTTCCTTATTGCAAAAGAGACTTCAACTCTTTGATAAGCTGGTTTCCTCTAAGGTACCCAGTTTTGCCAGACTGTCAGCCATCTCGTTGCCTTGAATACCTTGGTTGCCAGGTACCCAAACTAGCGTGATGCTGTTTCGCTCACCCAAACTATTTAGAGCTTGCATACAGTTCCAGACCACTGAGGATTCAGTGGTGGTTTTAGCAAGAACTCCTATGGCTGCTTTACTATCTGTATAAATGTTGATCCTCCTCTTTTTTGTTTCATTTGATAGTAGGAGTCTTGCACATTTCAGAATGGCCAGGACTTCCGCTTGAAAGACCGTGGCCAACTTACCCAGGGAGAACGACTCCCTGTGATTTGATCCTGGACAGTATATGCCCGCTTCAAAGCGGCCGTTTACTCCAGATCCATCAGTGAACCAGGCCTGAACGCCCGGCTGGATCTGAAGATTTCCGTTTTTCCAGTCTGGTGGTCAAGTTTATAGAAAACGATTTGTCCACTTGGCATATTCTGGATATTCTATCGTGTTTTAAGGTAAAAGAAGGTTTGTGAAGAAAACCGAGCCTGGTGTGGCCTCGCCTGAAATTTCTCCACTCCTCTTGACACCAAAGTTTATATGCTGTGAGACTGGCCGCGCTTATAATTGTCAAATTTAAAGGTGGGATGCAGAGCGCTATTTCCAACGCTTCTGTTGGTGTCGTTCTCATAGTTTCTGCCGCAGCCCTCAGGTAATTGTCCTGTAAGCTTTTTAGCAGGTTCTTTGACTACATTTTTTTCACTCTAGGCCACCAGACAACAGCAGCATATGTTAAGTTCGGTACTAGTACCGCCTTGTATATCCATAGAGCAGTATTTAATTTGATACCCCAGGATTTGCACATTGCTCTTCTACAAGCCCAATAAAAGGCATAGAATTTAGTTCTCTTTATTCCGAGATGTGTTTTCCAGTTCAATTTGGGGTCTAGGTAAACTCCCAAATATTTAACAGATTGGACGTATTTTATTTCTTCGCGCCCGAGTCTAAGCGGCTCAATGGCTTCCAGTTTATATTTCCTGGTGAAAATCATGGTCTTGGTCTTTGAAGGATTAGGCCTGAGTCCTTTTGATTGACACCAGTCTTGCATGATCTTAAGGGCTTTCTGCATAGTCTCCTTAAGTGTTGAAAAAAAACTACCTCGCACTATAATGGCCACGTCATCAGCGTAGCCAAAGACGAGGAAGCCTTTCTTCTGTAATTCTCGTAAAAATTCATCCGCGACCAGACACCAGAGCAGAGGAGATAAAACTCCTCCCTGCGGGCATCCTTTAGCGGGGAAACCATGCACATTTGAGTCCCCATGATTGACAATCAGGGTTCTTCCTGTTAGCATGCTTTGTGTCCAGTCTGCTAGAGCAGCGGGAATGTGATGCCCGGTCATTGCTTCTCTGATAAAATCATATAAAGTGCTATCGAAAGCTCCCTCAATGTCCAGAAAGACGCCCAGAGCATATCCCTTTGCTTCCAATTGCACTTCGACTCCGCCCACAAGATGATGCAAGGCATTATCTGTTGATCTGCCCTCCCTGTAGGCATACTGAGCCGTAGACAGCGGATGTACTAGCAAAGGGCCGATTTTCAGATATCTATCAACCAGTCTCTCCAGTGTTTTCAGTACAAAGGAAGTGAGACTAATCGGTCTGAAGTCTTTGGCTGTTATATGGCCATTTCTACCAGGCTTGGGTATAAAAACTACTCTTGTACCACCTTAAGCTTGGGGGACGTGTCTTAGGGTTATGCTAGCCCTGAAGATGTTTGTGAGTGGACCTGTGAGAACCCCCAGCCCCTCTTGAAAAAGAACCGGGTAGATTCCATCCAGTCCACATGATTTATAGGGAGAGAAGGTTTTAACAGCCCATTTATCTCCCTTTGGAAAAACAACCTCAGCTGCCAGACGCCAGTCTCTGGGTTTATATTCTCTAGGCTTCGGTCGGCAGGGTTGTATGATATGATCAAAACCTGGGAAGTGGATTTCCATTAAATGTTTCAATGTGTCCGTTGCCTCCTCAGTGACATTCTTCGTTGGAAGCTTGAAACAGCCTAATTGGGGATGGTGATCCAAATTGAGGATTCTGTGAAGCATGGATGCCTCCGGGGCGCTTTCAATGGTTTCACAGAAACGTCTCCAGCCTTTGCACTTTGATTTCTTAATCTCATTGCTGTACTCGCGTTGGAAGCTTCTAAAGGCCTCCCAGTGTATTGCAAGTCCTGTCCTTTTCGCCTTGCTGAATTATTGTCTCGTTTCTAACCTGAGCTTACCGAGCTCTTTATTCCACCAGTGGATCTTGTTCACCGGATTCCTGGGTTTTCATGAGCAGTTTAATTGAAAGGCGTTTGTAATGGCGTTCTTTAAAAAGTCCGCCGCGTTTTCCAAGTTGTTTTTGGTTCTAAAAATGGTTGAAGCCATAGCGAGTTGGGCCATAAGGTCAGCCCTAAAGCCTTCCAAGTTGGTGTTTTGTGAGTTGCGAACCCAGCTGATTTGCGGTATTTGTTGGAGAGTTAGGCGTATATGTCTGTGGTCCGACCCAGAGGGCTTATTCAATACCCTTCAGTCCCCCACCAAACTCGCCACCCTCTGTGTACATACCATAATATCAATGACTTCCTGTCTTCTGAAGTCCAGAAATGTCGGCTCGTTTTCTCTGTTAAGAATGGTTAATCCTGTGCCCATTAGGTAGTCGTAGAGACTCTCCTCCCGCAGGTTGGTGTCTGTGCTTCCCCATCCTACATAGTGGGAGTTCGCGTTGCAACCTAGCAGGAGTTCGAGCTCTCCGGCTTCCGCATAGGCCACCAGGTTTTTTACTTCTTCATGTGGTGGATCCGTGGAGTCATAGGGCATATAAACTGACCCTATTTATACTTACATGTCCTCTTCCTCGGCCAGCTTCACTCTCACCTTGATGACTGTGAGGTCCTCGCTGCTGAGCTGTAGCAGAAAGATAGCATTTAGTCCTTTTACTAAAATACATGATCTTACTCTATCTTCTGAGTGTGCTTTGTATAAGCAGCCGCACCCACTCAGTCCCTTTACTGCACTATTCACAATCCATGGTCCTTGGATTAGTGCAATACTTGTATGCATCACAGCCATGCTCCTGGCTAGGATAGCCGAGGCGCTCTTGCTATGATGCAAGTTAATCTGGATCATTTGGATGCCGAGTGGAGCCATTTTTAGGCAGTCCCGACACTCTCCGACTCCATCTTTTTTTCCGTCGCCTCCCCGCGCTCTCGTTCCGCCATCTTAACGGTGGCCCGGCCGAGACCGAAGAAAGGCCTGAAGCCACAGTGCTTTAAGGCTTCCATCGCCGAGTCGCCAACCAGACAGGAGAAGTGGGCGCTCGTAGCGTCCCTCCTATACGTCCCCCTGATGACGACCCAATTGCTGGTTGCCAGCCTTGTATTTTGCTGGTTAAGGAGCTTTAAAGCCTCCTCAACCCCTACTTCAGGCTCCTCCACATGCACTACCACTCGATGACGCTTAGGTAGCTCACCAACCGGCAGCACACACAGAGGAGTTCCCCTGACTTTTAAATCGGAGGAATGGGCTTTAAGCCATTCCGCCGACTCTTTGTTGGCGCACACAACCATGAGTGCGCCATCCTTTTCCCAGGAACCAGTGAAAGTGGTGGCTTTGTCATTCTCAGACATGCCGAGGATGACAGTCCTGATCAGTTTTCTGATCTCAACCACCTCACCGGCTCCCATTTTCTTGTCAGGGTAGCCCTCCAGTACGAGGGTCATTCTGACAAGATCTTTTGTCGCCTGTGCATACGACCCTTCATTTTTTCTCTTGCCCTGACGATTTTCTGAGGGGCTAGGAGTAGCGTGCTCCGGCCTGGCGCGCTTTGCCGCGCTACCCGAAGCCCGCCCATCCCCAGCTTCACCTTTTGAACAGGAGGCTGTGGGGGTAGAGGAGATTTTATTGGCCCCACTTTCCCCGGCTAGCATCTGTTTATTATAACGGCGCCTAGCGGCCCCGCTATATCTTATGTGGTATTTTGGGGCTTCTGAGCCTGCTCCCGCACTGCAAGATTCCCTTGTGCGTTTACCTCCAGAAGAGGCTTCGCTCTTGGGGACTGATTTGGGAGTGATTTTATTTCTGTTATCAATTTCCATTTGTGTTCCCACGAGTATCGCGGTCGCGCGGTTTCATCTAGCCAGAGCCGCGAATGGCTGGGGCTTGGTTCTGTACTCCTGGATTTTGTTTGGTATCCAGGAGGCACCGTTTACGACGCAATTCCCCTTGCGCCACGCAGCTTTCGGCACGGTCGCTCCCACCTTAACTTGGGGGGTTCCTCTTAGGTGGTCGCAGACGGGCCCACCCCTGAGCGGGTGACCACCGCCCGCGACCTTAAGCCCCGCCACCCGCTCCGGTGCGGGAGCCCAAAGCCCCCGAAGACACCGGATGCTCACTTTCTGTGGTCCATAGTTGTCCCGTCAGATTACACTTCCATTGTGGCGATATGACCAGACAGATCCGCCAACTGGCGATCAATGCCCGGCCACACTATCACCAGCACACGCTAAGAACAAAATAAACGTTCCGTGTAGTTACTGCGAGGCGGTCAGACCACGTGAACATTAAGCGCTCCGCGAGCCCCAAGCTCCCGCCTCGGAGCTACTACAAGGTGGGAACCCATTTGAGAGGAAGACACCCCCTAAGTAACAATCAAAAGGTTTTAGCCGTTGCTCGTTGGTTATTAAAAAATTAATAACAAAAAACGTTTTATAAATAAATTCTTATTTTTCAATTCCATGTACATTTTCATTGTGTTGTAAGAGTTTAAGCAAGGAGCTAAGCCCCTCTCACCTTTGTTTTGCGTGTATATTATCTTGTTTGTGTTTATATTAGGATATTTTTTCTGATTCCACTATTCCACAATAATTAATTATGTCTCAAACATACAGGTTTCGACAACGATGTTTTACTTGATGAAGCAATAAAAACTTTTTTTTCGTAATTTTGACATGATCAACTCAATGAAACTTTTTTTGGTAATTTTGACATGAAGCGAATGTAATTAGAAGTCGTATTTGTTAATTAAATTCTTCATTTCATTTTGACGAGGAGAGCAGGGGGAAGGACGATGCCCCTCTTCTTGAAGGGGGCGTAGCCTCCCAGCCTACACGTGTCATACAAAAAACATATTAACTTAAGAAATCGACACAATGTTGGAAAATTAGTATTCAATTATAAAAATTCTTTTGTTTATAACTCAAAAACTACAGCCAAGCGGCGGTACCATGTATAAGGAAAAGTTGTTCAAAGTAACGTTCTACACAACATATTTCAAACTCATTGAAATCGGTGAAGAAGTCCGTTTTCTAAATAATTACCGAAGATGAATTTAAAGATAAACGTATATTCTACAAGATGTGTGATATCTCGAAAAACTTACTGTTGTGCTCCAATTTTTGTAGTAAGGGTAAGTGGAGTAGGCCAGTGAGCAATGTGATAAGACATCACTGTCATTGCTCAATGGCCTATTTAGGTTGCGGGGAAGCAGCAGTTCTAGGAAGAACTGCTGGTTGTCGCGGGGTGCGACACATCGCCCCATTGTCCGAAGTGGAACGCAGCGTGTGTCGACACCGGCACCGGTAACTAGCACGGCCGTTGCTAGGACCGGTTGGTCTGCTGAATCGGCTCGATCGATCTAGTATAAATCAATCGCGTAGATGAAGCAGAGGAGAGATCGTGATCAGATTGCTAGCTCACTGTGTGGCTCCGGAGAGTTTACCACAGTGAGGAACAGCCGTGTAAGGAACGTAAGGAACATTGTAAACGGAGCAATGAACACAGTAACATAAGTTGACGCATAGAACTTAATCTTTACCACCCAACCTCCTCGACATCCAACAAATTTTGGTGGCAGCGGTGGGATCCCTCATTCCGTGTGTCAAGGACGGGACTCTGCAGGAGATTCCGGTTGGAACAAGAAAACGGACATTGTGTGAGAAAAAAAAGAAGCGAGGACGATTGAGTTCTAGTTTTTTTTTAAGGGGTATATTTAAAAGAAAAAAAATATATAAAATATATATGTGTATAAAGACAATTATATATATAAAACTCCGTCCCGGAGAATACTGCTCCTGAAACAAAAAAAAAGCAGTCATTAGAGAATGTCTTATACACCATTCAAAAGAAGAAGAAAGACACTGCAAACTCACAGTCTCGAGTTACATGGCAACACTGACCTAACGTAAGCCAAGCGACGGGCAGTGACACAAGGCGGAGATAAGGAAGCGGACGGACTGCAGTAGCAGAACGAAAAACAAAATTTACCGCCGGGAAATTCCGGAAGCAGCAAGTGACAAGCAGACAAGCAGCTGTGACGGAAAGGCACCGAGGAACCAACAAAGGACAGCCGAAAAAGCAGCAAAGGCGACAAAGCAGTCAACGCAAGGAAGGCAGCGGTAGCGGCAAAGCAGCGGTAGCAGCAAAGCAGAGAAGCAGCGAGACAACGAACCAGCAAAGCGGCGAGGCAGCGGCAGCGGCGGCGCGAGAAAAGCTGAGTCAGCAACACAGATACGACTCTTGTAAGCGGAATTAGGTCAACTACTGTAAGTCGAATAAATATTTTGTAAAAGCGAGCGAAACATATGTTCGGTAACTGGCGTTTGCAACAACGCGGCGTACAATCTGAACGAGTAGCGCGGTCATTAAGAGGTCTATTACCGGTACGGGAACTGAGAACCGCACCGGCGGCGCTTTCTCAAGAAGCGGAAATAAATAGGCAGGATAGGAATTTGTATCCGAATGTGATTGTAGAAAGAGAATTTCCGTTCGATTTAGACGGTAGTATAGCCGATCATTTACAGAGTGTAATAAATCGCGGTAGAGTTGAGAACAGTGGAACCCCGAGCAGTGGTACTCAGAGGTCTTCTTTAATTTCATACGAGAGCAAGGTGTTTAACACCGTATGTGCGGTCGTTGGAAGCGATAAATTCGCGAATAGACGCGGTAAACCGACGGGTGACGGAACTCTGCGAGACACACGGACGCGGGACAAGTTTGTCGATGACGCGACACGTGTACAGACGTCCAAGCAAACAGTTAGACGTAATGTACGGATGAACAGCTAACCACGTAAGAAATCTCGCCGTGTTGTACAATGGTAGTCTAAAATTAAAAGACGTGGTCGGAATGATACCGACGTTTACTGGGAAATCACCCAAGCAAATTCGAGAATTTTTGAATGTGTGCGAGCACACAGAGGGAATGGTCAACCCTGCAAAGGAATCCGCTCTTTTTCAAGCAGTATTGCGAACCAAGCTGAGAGGACAAGCGTTAATTGATTTTGAAACAAAGGACGTTCGCGATTTTGAACAGTTAAAGGCAGAAATAAAAGCTACGTATTCTGCAAAGCACAGCACTACACAGTTACAAATAGAATTCAACACATTGCGACAAAAGAGTAGTGAAAACGCACAGGTTTACGGTTAAAGAGTAAATCAAACGGCCATGGAGTTGTACGGGCGGGTTCCGTTTGACCACAGTACGATTCGACACCGCTCGATTCGACACAGATTTATTCGACACCAAATTATTCGACACCGTACGAT